CGTGGGGAGGAAGGCCTGGCGGCTCTCCAGGATCGGGCCCGACGAGCTCAGGAAGGGCGGCCTTGGGCTCAGCGCCCCATGGGCCTGGACAGACTGGCTCCTGCCCTTCCTCCGGCCTTTAAAGGAAAGCAGTGCAGGTTGGCATGCGGGTGGGCACCCACATCAGCGCCAGGCAGGGAGGTGGGCGCCCTGAGAGCCGCACACTGACCCAGAACGCCTGCAGCCCCAACGCTGGCGGAAAGCATGGGTGGGGGCAGCAGCCAGGGTGAGGGACCCGCCCCGTTTGCCAGGACTTTACTGGTTTTGACACTAAAGTTGCCCGTTCCTGGGAGTCCTGGTCCGACACGCCAGCAGTTTCACTCACCCTCGGTCACTAACCCCTGTGCCTCCCACACGCAGTGACAGAACCATGAAAGGGGCCACCCCCACGGAGCTGCCTGGTCCGCAGGCCTGGGGTTACCCGCGCTGGGGGAGCGTGGCCGCCCGGTGTGGGGGTGTCACGGGGCCAGGCCCCTCTGCAGAGTCCCTACTGATACTCGGACAAGTTCCTCTCACGGAGGAAGGGGAGGGCGGAAGGGAGCCGGCGAGTGAGAACAGGGACAGCGATGTTAGTTTCTCCGCAGCCGGGCAGGGCCAGGCACCTGCTGTGGTTTACGCAGCGTGGGCTGTGCCCCAAAGGCTCGGCCGTCACGGCGGGTCCGTGCCACTGAGGGAGGACCACCCGGTGCCCAGCGCATTCCAGAGACACATTCCGAGCCTAAAGCAACACGGGCCCTGGGGGGTCAGGGCGCCCCCCTCCCCTGCCTCTCTCAGCAACCCCGAGTCCCGTTGCACCCACCTGTGTTCCGTGTCCCTTCCCGGGGTGACCAGTAATGGGTCCCCTCTTTTCCGGGCTGCTCCGTGCCGCCCTCCTGGTTGCCCCCACTTGGGGCGCTGCTGCCGCCTGCAGACGGGACCCCCCCTCCATCCCCGTCCTCAATGTTGCCGCCTGCACGCTGCTCAGCATGGCAGTCCTTGCGCATCCTGTGATGGAGAGACGCTGCGGGGGTTCTTTCTCCCCAGGACATTCTAACATCCCCAACGCCCCACCCACGTCCACGCCAGGAGGAGCCGCGCTGCGGGTGAGCTGCACGCCTGGGCGGCAGGCGGAGAGAGGACTCTGGTTCCCAGATCTCAGTCTAATGAGGAAACCCCCGCAGCCACACCCGTGAGCTCTGGCCTCAACCTTCCACAGAACCTCAGCTCTGAGCCGGAGGACAGGGGCCACATTCAGACAGAACTTCCTCGAATTCACTCCAAATAACCAGAGACCACCCGCCGACCAGCGTGGCTCAGTGGTCACGTGTTGACCTATGAACCAGGAGGTCATGGTCGTATGCCAGGTCAGGGCACATGCCCGGGTTGCGGGCTCGGTCCCCAGGAGGCAGCTAATTGATGATCCTCTCATAGTTGATGTTTCTCTCCCTCTCTGAAATGAATAAAAATAGACGAAAAAACAACTAACCAGTGACCGACACAACCAGGGGAGGAGACTGACTGAGAGGTGAGCATTGGGGACCCCAGCCTTGTGCCTGCGGCAGATGTGGGTCCTAAAGACCCCGAACCTCTGCAGCTGCGAGTGCTCACGCAGGCGCTCAGCGCGGGGACGCGGGAGAGAACGGACGCCCCTCTGGCTGAGCTGCTCACCGATCAGCCCTGAGACTGCTGACTGAGACGCACGATCTGTAGGTGGCACTTGGGGATGGTGGCTGTAGCCACATGAGAACGTGGCCGTGGCCGGGAAATCCCAGCTGGAAGCCGAGCGCTCGTGCCGGCCCCCTCTCCAGCGTCCAGGTGATGGTGTGGGGCCAGGACCTACCTGAGCCACTTGGTCCGGAACCAGGCCCTGAGGCCGTCCAGCGTGACGGGGCCGCACCAGAGGCCCCTCAGCTGCCGG